TAGGTTGAGGATTCTATACTGGAACCAGGAGGCAACACTCAAACTAAGTACTAGGGTTCCCCAAAAAGTGCAGCAATAAGGTCCCGAGTACCTCTTATGATAACACCCTAGTTCATATCAGGAAAGAGGGAGATGTGGTTAATTGTGGTGGCATGATCACTGGGAAAAGCCCTTTGGGATTGTGTTTTGCAGCAGATAGTGAATAGGGGAGTTGGTGCCAAATGGGATGGGAAATTGTTAGGTGGAATGGCCCTCAAGAAGCACATTACTATACCCACTGCACAATTGGACTTGTGGATGGCAACGTCCTTTGGGTCTTTGTAAACTTGTAAGTGTCGTGTGGTTGGTCTTAGAAAATGGTCCTTCTAGGAGTCAGAAGTATCAGTGCTTCTGTTACAGATTAAAAACTGGTGGTCAACTTAACACCAGTTAAATTAAATCAGCATGGTGCTGAACATAGATGTTCCACCTGAGGAAAGTTGCCAGCATAGGTAAGAGATGTGGAGAAAGAAAACCTAGGCATTGTGGGTTCGCCTACGTGTTGCTGTTTGAGCCACTGTTCTTATGCAGGAGCTTGTCATGATTGGCTTCCCCAGAGTGAGTTCGACCATTGTTATCAGAGGAGCTCAGGACCTTGTTAGTGAGAGTGGCGGTGGTTTGCTTTGGGGGACCTTTGGTCCTTATATCGAGCATCATTTCATGGCTCCAGAGGGGAAGATGTGTGCCACTGAATCTTCAGGACAAACTTGTCATGCTGGCTTTCTGGCATATACTTGACTGTTCTTATCCTTGGAGGAGCTGTTCTTATCCTTGGAGGCCCCATGCCGCTGAGGATGGTTGAGGTGCTTTTCAGTACAGCCCTGGTCCTTATTATGAGCGTGACTTCTTGGCTCCAGTGTAGAACCCTCAGCCTACCAGCAACAGCTCCTTCACCCTGCTGGCATAGACTTTCTAGCTTCCACTGCTGACCTTTGAACCTTCCCAGTGCAGATTCTTAAAATGGGCTGATGTGAGTCCTTCTCGTGGGCTCTAGACCTCCAGTTGGACTTGTGGGTGGCATTGTCATGGACTCTAGGTTTTCATCTGGACTCATGCAGGACATTGCTATGGGACTTAGGTCCTTGGCTGAATATTCTGTGTGTCTGTAGTATTATAGACAGATTTCCTGCATTTTTTTTTTTTTTTGTATTTTACTCTAGGTGACCAAATGCTAATGTGATCATAAAATAATAATATAAATTCTGTGTCCTGATTCTAATTGTTCTCACAACCCCTGATTACAATAGCTACTCTGGACTATTTTAAGCAGAGAATAAAATACTATCATCAAATCAGGAAAAAAAAAGTATACTTAGAAGTGGTTACTGGGGTTGCTTCTTATTCTTTCCTATGTTTTAGTACTTAGCATAAGACCAATTAATAAGAATTCTCATGTTTTTGAAATAGAAATGTACCTATTATTATTATTTTTCATATCACTATTTTTAGTATTAGGTATTAAGTTGAAGTTTAAAAATGTATAATTATTGGATTACACATTAAGTGGATAATGGATATACCATCATGATGACTGCATTAGTTACATGGAAAATTTCACAATATCCTAAGTGACATATCATTGAACCATTAAATATATAATGAATCAATCCTAAGTGTGCATTCCATTTCTTAAGGAAATATGGAAAATATTTATTCACTTCTCTGTTTAAAACATAGCGTTCAAATAAAGTCTGCTTGTACTGCTTGTACTAGTTCTTAAAACTTTGCCTTTTATACAAAGATATGATTATGTATCATTTTGAGAAGTTGTATTTGAATTATCTAAATATTGTGGTAGAGTCTGTTTTTCCTCTTTAGTATACTCTTAGGGTTAGTAGGAAGCATTGGGTAGCCTTGTCTTTAATAATATTGTGCATTTTAATATATATATATGTGTGATAAATGTCTAAAATTTTTAAGATATTAACACAAGTTTTCTGCTATAAATAGCAATGCTGCTGGTGAAGTTGACACTGGGAGTTTGTTCTGCAGTGATTTCTTATCCTCATTCAGTGTGTAAAATGAAGATGGGGTACAACCACAGTGATTAAGTGATAATATCATCACTGTGCTCAGGGTAAACACACTGTACTTTTGGAAATCAACTGATTATGGACCCAGATATAACTTACTTTAAACTGGCTGTAATTTGGCTGAGGGACTAATTTACTATGTAGTTTTGATGTGTTTTACACAATAATTGTCCTCTGTCTCTGTGTTTCTGTGATTGTATTTCTGCTTAGACATGTAACGGCTGCAACTAATATACTAAAAGGAGTACAGGTTAATACAAGTACTTGGTAAATATTTATACGCCTATCTTGTAGACTGTCTCTTACATCTTATTTATCTTCTATTTTCTCACAAACTACTTTTTCTTCTGGTGTTATTTTAAGCAGTTACCTAATTTGAATATATTTTCTGTGGATTTCAGGAAACATACTATGATAATGTCTTTTTTAAAAAAAGAATCTTACTATAACAATAAGAAGACAGTGATTATACACAACATGTGAAGATTCATTTATGAATTATTTTTCCCTACTTCCCCAGTTTTACTTTCAGAGGAAATTTTAGTTTGATGTCCATAACAAGTATACAGGAGACAAGAGAGAGCTTTGTGTAGGGTTATGTTACTAAATCCAAATGAGACTTGGCTTGTGTGAACAGTAAATCATAGCTTTTTGGGGTGATGTGCGTTTCAAAGAAAAATGCTTTTTGTTTTCTGAAACACTTTTCTAGATTATAGTTGTCCTTTATGTGGTCTAGTCTTTTAATTTCAGCTCTGTATTTTATGCTTAAACTGAGTGTGTTTTTGTTGTCTACATCACTGAAACCTTTGAGTAAAAAAGTTTTTTTTCTGGCCTGTGAGGGTCCAAAATTTGAATAAGAATTCAGGAAGTGGTTCTAGGAATGATTCTTGTGTTGCCAGAAATGCTGATGTGTTGGCATTGCATTAACATTCCCAAAGCTGTCACAAACACTAGCTAAAAGTAAAAAAGTGTCATCACCACAGCTGTGCTTTGACTCCTGAAACTAGTCTCGTAGTCTTCTATGCCCCGTGCATAATCATAAATGCTATTGAGACATGAGAATCAGTTTTCTGTACTATGCAGCTGGTGACCCACTCATATTAAGGTCTTTGGAGCTGAGTTAGGGCTGTTTGGCAGAATTGTCCTTTTATCATGGGTGACAGTTTAAGTGAGAGAATGCTGCTGAATGAGGTTGTGAATGAAACTTATTTGAGTTAGATGATAAAAGCAGATGTAAGTTGCATAAGTGTAAGTTGCAGATGTGTAACTTGGAAGAAATGAGCATTTGTCCCAAGAATATGGACTGGAATAAAAGAACAACAGGGAGGAGTATGAGTAGGGAGCTGAAATGGAGCTATGAGAGTAATTTAGAAAGGTAGGTTAGACAGATTGGTCATAGGCCTGAAATACCACATTAAAGAATAAGAACAGCTGAAGAAAAAGATGAAATGTTCCCCTAGGTGTCTGTTCCAACAACACAGAGATCAGTCTCATCCCTTTCTGAACTGTGGGCCTCTTTGCTGTAACTCTGCTCTTCCATATTTTGTTTTGCAAATTCCTTAAAACATCTTTTGCACGTGGAAATGGTATTCTTATTTGCCAGTTTTGTTTCTCTTAATAAGACAACACTTTCTCCTTAGGTAGTAAAAGCACCTTGAAGGATTTGACTTTTTCCCCTTTCATTTTCAAATGTAATATTTTAATATACAGACCTTAATACCTCTTAAATAATCTAAAACTCATTTGAATTTTTAAAGCAAACCCTCCTATTCATCTCAATTTTATCAGCTCACTTTCTAAAATTGCAGTTATGGAAAAAGATTATGATGTGATCTTGATCATGATGTGATCATGATGTTATCTTGAGTACATTTAAGACGAAAATTCAGAATTCCAGTGGACTAGAAAAGCATTACCTGAATGCATGAACTTGAATCTGACAGCCTTAGAATAATGGGAAAGACCCCCTAAGTTAGAAGTCTACTTCTTCTTCCTTACCTGACCTCCTCATTTCATCCTTATTTCTCTTTTACTCTTTCTGCCCTTCCTTCCTTCGTTTGTCCTTTTTATCTCCCTTCTTTCCTTCTACCTGTCCACCACACATCTATTATTTAAAACAGGATTTATGCACGTAATAGAACAAAATATTATACATGATAGATGTTTTAAAAATAGTTCCAGAATCTTTGGGTGAAGGAGGGTAGGCTGCATTTTGAACAAGCTGTAAACACTTGATTCTGATTCAGATGATCCAGAAATTGCAATTTCAAAAACACTGAAATAAAAGGAGGGACTAGTATTTCTTTGAACAGTGAAATTTGTGCATGCAGTTACTTAGTATTTTTAGTATATATTCATAAATAGGAAAGACATGCCTAATAGTATGGTATTTGTAGCTTCACAAGATTGTATGCTCAGGTATATCCTGTACCCTTCAGTATTTTCTTGCATTTGCATTTCTGTGTAAGTGTACAATAATCTAAAAAATAAAGCTATTCTCTTCTCCCATATAAAGGCCTATTTATAGGTATCCTCCCATCTGACAAAAAAAACTTTTAATGTTTTAGAAATAAGCAAAAATTAGAATGTGTGATGTAGATGTTAATTCTTTTTATTTGACTTTGAATTTATTTATTTGAGGATACTAGTATTTAAAAGTCTTTTCCTCTATCAAAAATGAGTCAGTTAGAAACATGGCTGGGAAAGTATATGATTCGATGAAAATAGTCTATGTGAGTGGATCTCTGAACTGGTTGTATGTTAACCCATCTGAAACACTTACAAAACTCTACTGAATTAAGGTTTTGTACATAGTTGAAACTTTCAAAAACTTTTTATTAAATACTTACATTGGATTCTTGGAGAGTACTGAGAAAATGGATTCCTTGATGCTTTGATTTGAATCTAATTGTAATTGCTGTCTCCTAGGATGGAAAGAAGAAATTTGACAAGGAAAGTGAAAAATACTACTCTATTCTTGACAAGCATTTGAATTTGTCTGCAAAGAAAAAGGAATCTCATTTGCAAGAGGTAAGCTTTCCCCCATTGAAATGTGGAAAAAAGCATTAATATTAATTCATATAAAGTCAGAATTTCCTGTTTTTTAGTAAAATGACAGTGACACTAATCAATTTGATTGAACCCACTGTGGACAGGGCTTTGGACACATTTTACCACTTAATATTGGTGATTCCAAGTAAAAGATTAGTGTTTCCTATCAATTGAAAGGGTTTCAACAAGATTTTTTTCCCCTCTTCTTCTTGAATTTTTAAATATAAATTTTAAAGAGGTAAGTCCTGTCAAGAAGTTCATTTTACGTTAAGTTGTAAAAATCTGTGCCATTGCTTTTAAAGCTTTGGTTCAAATTGGCAAAAAAGATATATAGGTATATACTTTAAAATTCTCAGTTACTTTCACTTTTCTTTAAGAACAAAAGAGCAGGAATATTCTACTAATATTTTACTAATACAGTCTACTTTGCTTTGTCTGAAGTATATTCTGTTTTATTCCTTCCATTGGCAGCATTGTAACTATAATTTGTAAATTCAGCAGTGGTCATGCCTTTGAGGAGCAATGCAATTCCATTTGTGATGGTGGAGCATGTAAAAAAAACAAGACTCCCTTACCATTGGCATCTTAATAATTCTCAGAGCATACAGTGGAGTGAGCAGAGAGTGGGGAGCTGTTGAGGTAGTTCACCCAAAGCTCACGGCACCATTCAGAACCTCATGGGCAATCTAGGTTCATTCCCAGTCTTTCTTAGTGTCTCTGTCTTCCTCCCTCTTTCTACTTCTGGGTAACACAGTGAAGAACCACTATCAGACGTGTCATCTTGATTCACCTCATCTAACAAAGCCTTTCTGAATTGTTTTTTGCACTGCTTTTTACATTCATCCTGGTCCTCTGTCCTTTGTTCTCCTTATCCCTTTTCTTAATTCCCCTACTTTGAAGTTTGTCCACAGCTCATGTTTAACAAGTTACAAGTGTTAAAATTTCCAGAGTCCAAATGGATGAGGAATATTATTTTGGCATTTGATTCCTTTTTATTCCAGAATATTTATGTTACTGTTGAAGATATCCTGTTTCTTCATTTAAAGCTGATCCATATTGGGAAAATTGGTTTTGCTTGATATTTATATATGAATTCATTATAATCTTTGTCCTCATTATTTATGCATGCTTTGTGTACAGTTCTAGTCTTATGCTAAGGTCATGTGACTGAAGTGAAATGTAAGATGATCTGCCATTAACAAAAACTAGATTCTATTTTAAATTTCTTAGACATTTTTACTTTTATGAGGATGTGGCATTACTTATTGTAATTCAATATTCTGTTTATGTGTTCCAAATGTTTTAAATCCTCATACTTCTCTTTATATGTTGCACTACAATAGACGTTAGAGAGAAAGTAGAAGGAAGCCCCCATAATTGTCATCAGTACAGTCATCTGCCATACCAAGGATTTTGGCCAGGTGCCATTTAAAAAATTGATTGCCTCAATTACAGTCCTTTCGATTCTTGGTAAATATGAGAAGCTACCCTTAGAGAAGACATGCCTGAAACCTGCTCAAAGAATTGGTAACTTTATCATAATTGTTAAGTCCTTTAGAGGTTATGTTACAGTTTTTCCTGACAATTTTGCTTGGTATGTAACTTTCTTTACTAGTGACCATAGGCTATAGTTTAATAGAATATTCGTTCTGGTTCTGTGTTTAGGCGGATGCTAGAAAAAAGACACTTAATATAGTTAGCAATATCTTCTTCCTCATCTCATTGCACAGATGCACAAGCATGTATACACTTCTTTGCCAGGAGGTACAGCCCTTAAAACAACACAACCTACGTTGTGTAAGTTGTCCTTAGGGACATATAATGTGAGAGGGGAAAAATATGAGTTGACATTTTTCCCTTCTTCTCCTCTAAGAATTAAAACTATCACAGGGAGACGCTACCAGAAAAGCATTTAACATATAATTAGGTGACATGGCTTAAACGTCATTTGTTCCTTTCCAGAGCAGCTTTGGCTCTTCCTTTTGGCTCTTCCGTCAGCACCATGATTATAAGCTTGTTCTCAAAAAGATCCCTTTGTGCAGTCTCACCTGCACAGCTAGCTCTTTATTCATGTTGCTCATAGAAAATAAGTGGCTGACCATTTTCAGAACAGACTTAAAAGGTCATCTTGTGTTGACAAAGCTCAAAATCCATCAGTTAGACAAAAGTCATTGGATTAAACATTTGGAGAGTTGGGAACAAATTTGTCAAGATTATAGTAGATGGAAAGAAATCGTGTTTGATATGTGAGTACATAATTCCTTTCTAAAGTTAAATAAAAGGAATAAATCATAAAAGGAATATAGAAATACCTGAATGTATTAAAATACTCTATTTCAAAATATATTGAACAAAATTAAAATCCCAATACATAGGAAATTTTTATAACATGATAGGATAACCATTTTTTATATGACACATTTGTAAATCAATAAAAAAATAGAATTGATCAAAGAGGAGCTATAAACTGTAACAAATACTATCACAATGCTCTATGTTTGAAATAACACAAATAATAAGATGGCATTTTAAATTCACTAAAAGATAATAACCATTGTTGTTAGAAGTATCAGAAACAAGGCATACTTTGTTCTCCTGGGAACATAAAAGTATTTACTCGTTACTGTTGTTTCATTTTTATGTTAATATTTGCAATATAAAATAGTATTGATTTTGGACAATTGAAACATGCGCATAACATATCTTGACCATTTTCAATCCCATAACCATTCTCCCTTACCCACTCGCTCATCCTGAGGTGAATTTGACCTCATATTTCAGCAAACCTGAACAGTGTCAGGTATTTGAGGTTATTTCTATTGACAGAAATTTACCCAAGAGAACTGCATAAAGATTATATAAATACTGTACAAATACACAAATTATTCATAATGTAAAAGTTTCTAAACATCTGAAATGACACAAAAGAATGATCAGGGTAAATATACAAATATAGCTGACAAAAAATGGAAGGTGACATGGCTGTTAAAAATTTCATTGAGAAAAATCATTGAAAGACATTGGGAAATATTGTTAGATTAAGCAAGGAAAAAAAATAAATTTTAAGCTGGGATATACAACAGTATCTCAGATTTATTTTAAAGTAGATGTGTGTGTGTGTGTGTGTGTGTGTGTGTGTGTGTGTGTTATATGAAAATACTACGTATGGGGTTGTAATTCTTCACATTTCTGTGCAATAGTAATGAATAATAAACACCATAATGTATATTTATTGCTTTTATGTAGGAAAAGAAGAAAAAAGTAAAATGAAAAATAGATTCCCGTTAGAATTCTGTATCTTAAGTTTCCACACACCACTAAGTGTTCTTTTGACAAATTCTTCTTATCCCCCACCCCTTTAATGAAGCAAATTCCTTCAGCTCAGTTCTGGGACCTGTGTTCTTACCTAGCCATTTATTTCCCTGAAGTCTCTCTTCCTTATTCTCTGTAGTGTATCCTAGAGCATGGTTATGTCTGGCCATTCTGTATTGTTCAGAGTTACCAAGGCTTTAGATTCTCAAATCTTAGTGACACATGTGATACTTTACACATCATTGTCTTTCCCAAATTTCCTCCTATTTTTCATTTCCTTGACTATCTGTTAATGTTGATATTGTTTGTTGTGTCAGATTCATTTTTATCTTTTTCTTTGCTTCTCATACTCATATCTTTCAATCTACCCTTTTTGTGGGGGATGTACTCGACATTTAACCATTACCAAGTAAAAGCTCTTATGTTCCCATGTACGCAGTTTAATCAGTGAACTCACCACTATTCTCAGTTAATCTCCTTGAATACAACTTGGGTCCTTATCAACATCCTCAAGTTTTTGTACCGCTATAGGTTGTAGTCTATGTTAGCTATTCTAGCTAAACTGTAATTTCTGATTGACCCAAACTGAACATTCAGTCACATATCTTTTGATCAACCCAGAGGAAACTTCTGACTTCTGGCTGTATTCCTTCACTCAGACTCTTCTCATTTATATCTCTACCTATTGTAAACCTGCTTATTCTTCAGAAGCTGTCGTGAACCTTTTGTCCTCAGGGAATGGTTAAACACTTATCACCTGTGGCTCCTCCTCCTATTTTGAATCAAGGTAGTTTATTGTAGCTTGTTGGAAGAATTTAGATACCTATAGAACCATGTAGTTTTCCTGTGAAAGTAATTTGAGTTCTTGGTTTATAGTCACGTTAGCCATGTGAACAACAGTGCATACGTGCTCTAATGAAAAAATTATTATTAGTGCTCCCTTTTAGTTTTAAAGTCATCCCAGTTTGAATGATAAACCATATCACTAACCTGCTTATCAAGTACCAAATATATAGCACCAGTTGCTAGCAGATACATAAGCAAGTGTTCAGTAGTAGAATATAGACTATAAGCCAATAGTAGTAGAATATAGACTATATAGACTATAATGGCTTATAGTCTATATTCTAGATATAAAAATGCCATTATAAATCTAGTACTGAAAAATAACTAAGTTGTCACATTCCGTCAGCACTGTACACTTGGGATGGCCTGTCAGAGCAGCTTTGGTTTATCAAATTTCAGTTATCTAGGTTGAAGGTGTTGGAAAACATCTATAATTGGCAATTGACAAGAATCATTATTATTCTTCTTTCTTTGTACCCTGCCCCTTGGCATGGGGATGGGGGCAGTGAAATAGTACTGTGCATAGCAAATACGTTTCTGAAAAAGTGACTTCATACTCCTCTGTCATGGTTCTCAAGATTTTCACTATGATTGGTGATTTTCTAGAACATACAGAATGCAGGATATAGTTGTATTCATAGCTGGCTATGTTTTATTACAATAATAGTATGGGGGGAAAAAGCAGGAAAAGGAAAAAAGTGCTTGGAGCAAAGTCTGGAAGAAACCAGGTCTAACTTCATTAATCCTCTCTTCGTGGGGACAAGTGGGACATTCTTTCTTCTCCCTGCAGCAAACAGTGACAGCACATGTAAAGTGTTATCTTATCAAGAAAGTTTATGAAAAACTCACAGCTCAGAGTTTTGTTGCAGGATTATCACTATGGTGTCTCCCTCCTTGGCATTTACCCAGATTTCACACACTTGAAAGGAAGTGTTTGACGTAAACCATATTGTTTGTACAGTTCAGGCATATGAGCTATTCTTATCAACTAACACTCCCCATCTCGAATTCCCAGATGTCATCTAAGGACCAGCTTTGTAAAATCTTTCAAAAGATAGCAGTCCAGGCCTGCTGCTGTATTAACTGTTATCTATACAACCTGTTGATTAGAAACTACCAATGTGAACTCTAAAGGTATTGGAGTGTTACAGTTTCTTCAAATATCTGAAGCAGCACAATTTATGTCATCATATTTGAACATAAATATCTTTAAAATAGCTTGTAGAATAGAAGGTTGCCTTAGAAACTGAAGATATTCTTGTATCTTTTTCATCCATAATGTACTGAAGTTTGCTCAGGAGAGCCCATTTTTGCTTCTTTTTCCAATTCCTGCATTCAGTGATAATGACTTTGTGATTGAAAGTTTTCATTTGGGGATTGTTTATAGCACAGAAACCAGCAAAAACTGCAAATAGGTTTTTCTTCCTAGAAAATCAGTTATTAAACATATATACCACCATCTATCTCTCATTGCTAACTTAAATTTTATTCATATATATGAATAAAATTTAATATGAATAAAATTTAATAATGAATAAGGAATTTAATAAAATTTAATATGAATAAAATTCAATAATATATATATATAATTAGTTTTAATAATATATATGAATGCATTTCCTCCCTCAGGGGAGAAGAGAGACATGGCTAATACAGTCTGTAGATTTCTTTTTTCTTTTTATGGTTGGTGTCTTGATCTTTTCTGAACAATCTATGAGAACTCAGAAATCATTTATTCAAATTTTCCACCTGTTTTGTATAGTTTTCACATGTATTAGTTAAAAAACTTGAAATTATCAACTTTTAAGCCCAAACGAGTTGCTGATAATATTGAATTGTGTGTAATTACTGGTATATAAACGCACAAGATTGCAATTATTTTTAAAGGAGCTTGAAATGAAAACTTATGGTGTGCTAATGTCCATGTCAACAATCTTCTTTTTCTTCCAAGCTTTTCTTTTGTGAAATTATTATTTTACATGTCTTCCAAGTTGTTTTCTGTTCTCTAATTGTAAATGGACACTTTGGTAGCGCAGAGATCCTATTCTTCTCGACTGATTTTAGTCATCTCAGCTGTCAGGTAGAAGCTGGAGCAGTAAACTGTGTTTCTCTGCTGAACTAAAGTCATATTCCAGGCATGTATTTGAGAATGGTATTGGGCAAGAAAGATGAAGGAGATATAAAGTCAGAAAGAAAATGAAATTCTCTCAGTAACACTCTCCCACACTTTATCAATAGAACCTTACTGCAATTAGAAAGAATGAATGTGCCTGACATTGATGGAGCATGATTCATCAAGTTAGAGCTTTTGAATGTTTTTTTTTTCCTTTTCCTTTTCCTTCTTTTTTTTTTTTTTTTTTTTTTTTTTTGGTTTTGCTCCCATACAGTTTTTCCAAGATTGTACTTAGTGGTGCAGCCCTTCTGCTTAATATTCTCAGATACTTCTCCCTCAGCTGAACCCAAGTTTGCTATTCAGGACCCAAGCTATTTCATACTGTGATACAAATTTCACTTTCCCTACTTTACTACCTGCATTTAGCCTGCAGAAAAACTGTCAATCTCTTTCAGTGTTTTTCTGTTTTTGTTTATTTTTACTTTTTCATGTGGATGACTCATGTCATTTTCTGTGTTTCTGTGTTTCTTGACTCCATATACTGTAAACTCTTGTGAGTAAGGGCTATAATGATTGCTATGTTAAATCTTCCTGCAGAATTAGTTTCAATAAAAATTTCACAGTACAGTGTTAATTGGCTGTCTTTATACAGAACCATTGGTGATTCCTCCCTATGCCATGCTTTGCCTGTTTCTCATTCTTTAGGCAGATATACAGATTGACCGAGAACATCAAAACTTCTATGAAGCATCATTGGAATATGTCTTTAAAATTCAAGAGGTTCAAGAAAAAAAGAAGTTTGAATTTGTTGAGCCGGTAAGTTTTTAATTCCCTATAAAATAGTAGGTAAGCTCAAAACAACCTGTAAAAGAAAAACTGTAGAATGATTTTCCATTGAAAAGTATGATCTGTAAAAATACAAGTGGAATGGGCAGGGATGAGTAGCTAGAGAACAGGACACTTTTAGAACAGTAAATTCTTCTGTAGGATACTTTTGTGTCATACAGTTGTCAAAATCCATAGAATATACAGTGCAAAAAATGATCCTTAATATAAACTATGAATTCAGTTAATAATTTAGTGTTGGTACTGGCTCATCGACTCAATAAATCTGCCACAAGAAGACAAGATATTAATAATAGAGGACATTGTTTGTGGGAGAAGGTAGGGATTCAGGAATAGGAAAGACAAGAGGTTACACAGTGAACCCTCTATATTCTCTGTGTAGTTTTTTGGTAAACTTAATCTACTCTAAAAATAAGTTAATTTTGAAACTAAAAAGTAAAGAATAAGTATACTCAGCAGTAATGTGATCCCTTCACCAAAGCTCTAGGTGAGCAAGAAAGACCTGAGGCTCTCTCTCCCTTTGTTCCACCTCCCTCTCTCTGCATAGCGAGATGTGCCTGACTGCTCTTATGGAGTCATTTCTTTTCCTAAGTGAGTAAAAATGAATGATTCTCTCAACATGAAGTGCATCACGGAGAAGAACAGGTGGCTGGTCTTTATAAGTGTACTTCATTTCCATAGCATTTTTTTCAACCATCCCCTAATACATATAATGTTACACAAATAAGCATCTGTATAAGGTGGCATCTATGATAATTAGAAGTAAACTAGAGTCAAGGTAGTCTTCTGTTACAGACATAAAACTATATATCAGTTCCCATTAGAAAAAGAGACAGGATTAATAAACACAGAAGCAATAAGTATATAATTTAAGCCATTCTTCGTATGTCAGTCTTTAAAATATCCATTTATAACAAAACAAAATACTTTGCTGTTACTTTAGTAGGAGTAGTAGCAAGAAGGCACAGGAGACAGCATCATTTAAAAATATATTTTACATAATTCATTGTTCTGAATGGAAACCCCCAGTTGGTGCCCTAAAGATAGTAAGTTAAAGAGGAGAGCCTGTGGAAAATATTGCTCCCTGTCTGGCTTCAAGACTGTTTGGCTAGAGTCAGTGCCTCTCTCCTTTAAACTGGGTACTTAGCAAGTTTGTAAGACCATACCTGATCTGGAAAGATTAAGGAACTGGAGGCCATAAATCAAGATGGGGGATTTAATTTTTTACCTTGTGTTCAGAGTAAAAGGCTTAATTCCAAATTCTGTTTGTTAACTATTGCTTAAATTCCTCGGAATAAATTGGTAACACGTAGTAGAACCTTGAGGATCTGATTGAATTTTATATGACTTGTGAAGCTCACTGCCAGGGTTCATGGACCATGAGTCAGCCTAACAATCCTCCTTGCAAGACTTAAAACCTCTCTGATGATTGTTCCTTGTCACCTTGGTTAAATCCTTCCCCAGAATCCAGCATGGTTTTGAAGCCACACTTCTTGCCAGCAGACTCCTTCCCTACTGCCTACCTCCTGGTATTTCTGAACTTGAACTCTTTTTGTTACCAACTGTCAGACCCCATAGTTCTGATACTTTCCTGCATGTTTTTCCTTATGTGTTCCCATTTCCTTCAGACACTGCTCATTACTGTGTTGTTACTTCTTCTCACACCTGCAATGATCTTTCAACATCTGTGTACCTCTGTCCTTTGTGGACAGTGCTGTGAGTTCACCTTTTTCATTGTCTAAGTCTCCTTATATCCTATTTTGTCTGGGAACAGTGAACTAGACCATTCTATAAGATGACATCATATGTATAAAAGATTATAAAAGCATTTGCTCACAGGTGGTAGAAAGAATGATAAGAATTTATGGTTTCCTGTGAAACCATAGCAAAATGGAAACTACCCTTCAGCTGAAATGTGTCTTCTTCCATTCCACCTACCTTACTTCAAACTGGTATTCTGATAAATCTTCTGTGACACATAAGATTCCATAATCAACACCGGTGTTAAATTTGTACTCCCATAGTATTTTCTTGCCTGATATATTTTTTCCTTGTACAGTATCAGGCCAATCAAAATAGTATTGCCAGTTTATAGTCTCACTCTCATTTCTATCCTTGAAGACATATTGTTAGAGTTTCATTTAATTTTCATTTTAAAAATGAGTTTATAAATGGGATTATTGAAATTTTAACATGCATGTTGATCTTACACATTTCCAAAATAGTTTGAAAGGAACAGTTTTTTAAAATTCCAAGAACAAAGCTCACGAGAGCTATAAACTCGCACTTTAATATATTTTAACATTTTTGCAGTTTTTATTCTGAATAAATTCAGTTTTTATTTGCTTTGTTGCAGATTGCAGAAATTTAACAGTGTCTCCTAATTTTAACTTAGATTAATTTATCAAATAAGCACTAAAGAAAGCAAATGTCCTAGGTGTAAAACCTGTCTCTTATAGATTATAAAATATAGAGAATAAAAGTAGAGGGTGATGATTCACATTAAGTAATATTATTTTATGATGATATATTTGAGAAAACTTCACATTGTTTCACTTATCATCACTTGATAGATTTTTACTATTATGAATAATGTTCATGTTCTTATGTAGATACATGTTTTCACCTTAATTGCACTACAGTTATGGAATTATATACTTCTATGTTTGATCATTTGAGGAACTACTAGCCTTGTGCTTTTCATTTTACATTACCACTGGAACTGTAGGATGGGTTCAGTTTTTCCATATCCTTAACCAGATTTACATGAACTCATTTTTTTACTTTAGCCATCTGTCTTTATTAGCTTCTCATCACTAGGACAAAATACTCAACAACCAAGCTTAATCTTATGGAGCATAACATTTTTTTTTGTCAGAAAGGCCATAAATGTGGATATGTCAAACCCACATTTATTCTTTAGAATGTTTCTTTTGATGAATTATTAATTATAACCTTATGAGTTTTGTTGCATTAAACGATGCATGCTTAGCAGGCAAAAAAAAGGCCACAAAAATAAAATGTCATGAATATTTATTGAATATTTAAAAAGAAATCAAAATTTTCAGCATTGACTGGTTTTTGGTGTACGAAATCTAAAAAAGAACAACAGAAATAAATTCCTGTATGAAATACAATGAAAATACCAGTATTACTCTACAAAAAATCTTTACTGATCACTCCTAAGGTTGTCTTCATCCATGTTCCACACATGCATATCACTTACATTGACAACACATGTATTTTGCTTTCTTGGCCTTTTTGTAGGACATACTTGACATCTCCCTGTTTTGGTGTAGGTTCTTATGATATTATGCAATGTGTAGTTAACATGAACATAAAATATCCACTAAATACTGAATTTTTAATATATAGTACACATTTAGAATAAACATTAACATTTTCCCATCAGCTGCTTACAAAACCTAAGATAGCACATCAAAAAAAAAACCAATAATCTATGTGGAGTATAATGTAAACACAAACAGAATACTCTTTGCCTCAAGTGTCACTCCACGGCAGTCTCCTCCCGTGATACCTGCGTGTTCCATCCATCCACACATCTTGCTTTCACTGAGAACACATGTGCTTAGCTTTCCTTTCCTATGTGACTGGCCATTGTTGCCACCTCTCTTCCTGTTTTGCTAGGAGCTTTGTATTGTGTTATACAGTGTGATCTTATAGGGAAATAAGATACCAATGAAATGTGTACTGAGTGTTTAGAATAGACATCAACCTTTTCACATCAACTTTTTACAACAGGTAATATCAAAAAGAAAAACAATGAAAATGCCGATAGAACTTTAAAACAAAAATAATTTCGCTTCAATTGTCACATCCAACACAGAATTCACACGTGAAAATCACATGTTCTGTATATGTATATCACTTATGCTGATCACATATTTGTGTTGTTTTCTTGTCTTATACAGCACAGTTGATGTCTTTTTGGTTTTCTTATTGTCGTAGCAGGTCTATGGGATGCTATATCTACCTGTTCACTTGTCAGCTGATCAGTGTGCTCCACAGTTTTGTTACATAGTTCTCAGGCAGAAACATTTTGTTTTTCCTCTGCTATAAATAGTCTCTTATGAGTTCCAGTCCCAAACTAGGAAGGAAATTTCTCCATAGTATTTCCTACCTGTTCTTTTCTTTGTAAACTACCATACTGTTTATGTCACATGTTTCAGGTCAAGTGAAACACAACCATTGGTCAATGCTTTGTTTTTCAAGTGACATCATAGTTGCTACGTAACTCGTTAACAACATCTACTCTATCTTTGATTTTGTTGTAGAAAGTTTCCATCTCAAGCTTCCATTTTGTCTAGGTTTTCCTATCATATTTCCTTCAGGGTGCAATCTTGACATCAGCAGTACCAGTTTGCTTTTCTTTGCCATATATGAGGCCAATGTAAATGTTTCTGTAATTTTACGGCATAATTATCTGTTTTAAAATTGCAGCATTTCATTTGGAATTTCTGCTTTGTTCCTGCACACAGTTCTATGCTGGTCAGTTTGTGCTTTGTTCGCAAATGTAACAATCAATTAGAAACTGCTAAATCAATTGTTGAATGTCACATTTTGATTAGTTTGGGAGATGGGAGCAACAAATCGGTTCACACAACATCATTCAGTACATAACTATACAAATAAAGACCTGATGGATGAGTTCCAGGATAAATTTCTAAATTGAAAGTGTAATGTCTCTTCACATCTACAAGGACATAAATTTAATGTCCTTTCCATGTCCTGTATTTTGACCCATCATTTTTCCATAAGTCTTATACATTCCTGCAATTAGAATGCAAAATCCCTGCTAAGTATGGCAGACCTTTGGATGCTTTCAGTTCAGCCAGTAAAGTGTCATAACAAATACATTTTTGAATGTGGCTACTGGTCTAAACAGAACATTTTACTTCTATTTCTGCCTTTGTGTATTTCATAGAGTCTTGTAGCATTTTGTCTGTTAA